TTTTCTCCCATCGTGACCTGATTTAGTCAAGCAGTGTGAAAGTGATTTGGGCTCATTTACATGCCAAACCATTACGAGAGGTGAAGTAGTGTGCGCAAAACCCTCCAATGATCCGAGAAGACACACTAAATTGAAGAAATATCATAAAATAGAATGTTTGTATTGACAGACTCATTATAGTGGAGAAAGCAGCTGAGGTGACTATATGTGTTTGTGGCCCTTTAGCTAATGTACTTTATTTTGATTTAAGTCATTGCCATTGTTCCAGGTGACGTAATCTGTTTTTTTTATAATAAGACAATTCATAATGTAATATTGTGAGCATACAAAGCACTGACAAAACTGTATAAACATGATTAACTTATGACTAAACTGAACCAAATGGTGAAATGTTAGAACTTAAGAAGTAGAGAAATATTTGATCTAAATGAAACATCAAATCAGACATTTATAGTCATAAGGGGATGGTGTTCAGAGTTGAGACTATTTCTCTAGGACAAGAGTGGACTGATTCACTGAAATGAAGGTCAAGCAGAGAATATTCCTCTTCAGGTTTGGGGATAGTGACCCTTGTGAGAATATTCTGGATTTCAAACACAAAGACTGTCCATATTGATTTTAGTGTCCTCACAAAAGGCTGAAAAATGTGCAGATCAAATTTAAAATCAAACAAAACGTTCTACCTTTCAAATATGAAAAGATAATACTGCAGAGCTGTGGCTAGTTTTACTTTACGTTTTTAGTTTTACTGTTTGACATTCAGTTCTTGTGCAACACTTGAAACTCAACCACAAGATTTACAGGCATGTTTATAGCACATTTCCAATAGATGAATGTTGTCATGGGGATAATAAAACATTTTGAGATATTTGCTTTTGTCACAAATTCCTTTCCCCAGATCTTCTCAAGGGCCTTCACAGTTCTAAGTATCTAATAAACTGACAGAAGAGTTTCAAAGAAGAGGCCCTGCTGAAGACCCACAGATCATAGTTTCAAAGAAAGACATCAATTGAATGAGACAGCGCTGTCAAAACAACTTTAGTAGCTCTAATATGGCTGCCATGTCCCCTGGTGACACTAGATTCAAGAACAACACAAACACACAACCAGGCCAAACCCGCCATCCAAACTGAAAAGAAACTCACCTTGGGCTGTTTCAGGGTACCTTCTACATGGAGAAAATTTGTCTTGTTTGAGCCTTTTTTTTATTTAATGGCTATAGCAAATTAGGAAAACTGTAGAAAATTGTCCAGAGTGCAAAAAAATTACCCCACCACTGTGTAAAAGATTTACTCCACTGGTTTCAAACTACCTGAGGGAGAGAGGATCCTTGAATTAAACATCAATTTAGCAGAATGCTTCCATCAGCAGTATTCATTCTCTATTGACCACAGTTCTCTGCAGCACAGTTCTGACTATAGGAGTACTTTTATTAGGCCATCTCTAAGCGAGAGCAATAAAGATAAGACCTTTTTTTCAAACTATTTAAGTCTTTATATTTAGCATGTAGAAAATTCTAAATGAAGAGAGACATGTTGCAGAATATAGAAACTTTATATTAAAAGAAAATCTACAGTGTTGGAATGTCTTCGACTCCATTTTGCACCGTCCTCTTGCCAAATCACCTTCTTTTTGAGTGCATTCATCTGTTTGTTTTGGTATTTTGTTGGAAATCTGCAAGTCAAAATTAAATCAATCTAAAGTTTGATTTAAAAAAAAATGTGATTAAGTTCATGTTCTGATGCACAAATTCCTCATTACTCCTCTCACAAAGAAAACCTCAAGGTCTTTAATTCCATTTACTCAGGCAGGAAGCTGGTACATATCTCCACATACAACAACACTGAAAACTGAACAAGATAATTTCAGTAATTACAAGCAAGCACCTATTAGTCACTGAGCCTCTTTGGTCACCCTGAATGCCAATGTTTGTTGCTATAATTGCTCAAACAAACCTGCCCAATGCCTCACAATGAGAATACTGCAGAACCTCTTATTGTGCAAAAGCAGTGGTATTACAAAGTCAACAGAAAAAAGAACACCCACTTTCTATCTGGCTGACCATTATGTCTTCTGTTAAAGATCCACCCACTGCACTGGACATAGCAGTTTTCTAACCTAAACCCATAGCATGTGGACTAAAGCTTTTAAGAAGATATTACTCATAATATTATGCAATGATCATGATTGGATAACTGCAGCACTGGCCTGCAATATGCTGCTATAGATTGAATCACTTTTGCTAAGTGCATGCAGCTGTGAATCTACAAACTGTTATTTATTAGGCTACTGATAGGATCACACTGCACAAATTACGACCTATCTAAGTCTGAATTGTTTTGGAGTAGAAAGAGACAGAAAATAAAACAGAAAAGTGCTCTAATCACTACATCATCGGGATGGGACAATAAACAATAATATGGCTAACAACAATGAAAAGAGAGTCACCAGACCACCTGTAACAACCATAGACAGTATACAAAAGTGGCTTAGTCTGTGACGTCACAAGGCTAGTGAATCAAGAGCCGAGTTTCATATTAGGCATAGGAATTTATTTACAGACCAAATAGCCAAATAAAAACAGCAGGATCGTGTAGAGTGACTACAAACATTTTAAGACCAAAATGACAAGGCTCACTGCAGCAGTCACAGGGAGAGGCAATTTTTCAGTGTAAAGTTTTTTGGATGGACTATGGTCAGTGGCACCGGAAGCGACCCTATGCTGACTTCCTATTGGAACGCTCGCAATCACATGTGTTATGCTAACCACTACACGACTGTTGAGCATCAGGTATTTTATCATATTTATAAATGTGAGATAGATACTGTGCCATGGGGAGAAATATTTTTTATGTTTGCTTTCGCATCAAAGATACTCATTTAATCTCTTATAAATGCATAAGACAACTGAGTACAATTCATGCCAGAACAACCTACTATCATGATCATTAGCCAAAAAACAACAGAGAAAGAGATGCCCAAACAAGTTATTACAGAGACTTGAACAAGGGAGGAGACAGCAGGCAACATCCCAGAGAGAGAGAGGAACAGAAGGGAACTTTTGACTCACCACAATGTAAAGTCAACACACTGTGCAGATCCTCGGAGGCCTCTTAGACCTACAGCATGTCTCTCCTGGGTCCCTTTACTTTCCTAAAGAGCTGCACACTCCTCTCCCTCTGCCCTGCTCTCGTTGCTCTAGTCACCACTGAGCTCTACAAATATGACAGAGTTAAAACTTGCTCTCACTGAATGTTGATTACAGACAGTATAAATGGACAGAGCTAACCCACTAGCTGCCGCATTCAAAATAGGAAGTGAGCATGGGGGCATTTCAGGCTCCATCGACTCTGGCTCCAATTGACTTTGCACTGAAAAATTGCCAACCCTCTTTCTGTAACTGCTGCAGTGAGCCTCATCATATTGGGTCTTAAAATGTTCGTATTAACCCGCTCTACATGATCCTGGTGTTTTTAATTTGCTGTTTTGTCTGTAAATAAATTCCTATTCCAATATGGAACTCTGTTTCTTCTTTCTTTTGAGCTTGTACTAATACAGCACTAGTTTCCTGATTAGATTAGATTAATGGCCATGTAAACATACTCAGTCTCTTACTCCAGATCCAAAAAAAAAATACAACAACAATCACATTACCTCGCTACTAGTTATCAACAGGCCTGTCATGATAATTACTACATTGATTTATCGTTCAGTATATAAAAGCTGGAATAATATATATTTTTAGCTAAATATTTATCTTGTGTACATTTTCTCTCCAATAGCAGGGACATTTTTGTAATTTTAGTGGAAATATGATAAGATTTGAGCTGCGAAGGGTTGAATAATTAACTTCTTAGGCTTTAATGAATGACACTGTCTATTTAAAATGGTTCATCGGTATTATCCTTGTTTATTGTTATTGTGTTAGTTGCATAGTTTCCATATTATCATTTATTGTTATATTTCTCTATATCGTACTTCAAAATTTGTCAAAGACTAGTTATCAATATTTCAATGATCAACTAATCTGTATCAGTCCAAGTTATTGCAGCTCTAGTACATTTGCTGGATGTTGAAGCAGTGCTGAGTCAACAATGAAGCAAAAACACTTTATCAAAAGGATGGTTTCTGGGGTAGAACTTTTTTTCTTTGTACCACTGGAGGACAATAGATCTATAAACACAGAGGAGGAGCGCGTGATGAAGCACACCCATGCGTCTGTCCCCTGCTCCTTGAACAATGACCAACCAGACACAGCCTATGTCAGCAACTGTCCTCCCCTATATGATACAGACTGGCACAGAGTCACTGGAGCACAACAGGCAGGATGGGACAACAAATCCACTCACAACCTAGGCTATAGCATCACCACAGACACATGATGAAGTCTGAAACCAAGAGACTGGTGATGGGGCTAATAATCAAGTAATACTCAAATGCTTAACTGGATCCCATTTATATGAAATGTCATCAATGAGCTCAATCTAAACCATATACATTTTGCATTGTGCGTAATCGGAGTCTGCTGTGGTTATAATGACTTAATCCAAGTTAAACCCAAGTTTTCAGTGTATTAACAAATTATACTGTAATCTTACTAAACAATGTATGATACAAAAAATAATGAGCATCGTTATCTAATCAGACATTAAAGGCCCGTGGTAGTTAAAATAAAACAACAGCCTAATGATTATTTCCAAAGGATTTGAATGCGTTGCAAAGATTGAATTACTCATGCACCAGAAAAGAGGGGTACATTTAGTCTGAAACGCATCGTAGTCACGTACAAAGATGAAGCCCCATCGGTGCTGTGGGTGATGCTCAAAGCCTCCGGCGGAACACCTCAGCATCCTCCGCTCCCAGATCAACACGCGGAGGACAGGGCAGAACACAACGATAGACTACTGGTTTCACTCATTTACACTGATTAGTATGTGTAAATTATAAAGTGATGTTGTATCTTACCTGGATCGGCGTGTCGAGTCACCTTCTGTCGGAAAATGCGAGTGTTGCTGGCGCCAGGAGGTCGAGCATCACTGTGCCTCAGCAGCAGAGAGCGACGGAGCAGCGCTGCGCAGCCGCGGATCGAGCATAACACAAGACCAGCCCACTGCAGTGTGTCTCCTGAGCCTCTATGGAGCACAGACGAGCCCAGAGACCAGAGACCAGCACAGAGGAACACACGGGCCCGCCCCACAAGAGCCCATCACACGTGTCTCCTGAGCCTCTATGGAGCACAGAGACCACAGACAAGAGACAAGAAACCATCCCAGAAATCAACCCAGAGACCAGCCCCGAGGAACACACGGACCCGCCCCACAGGCACCTACTACACGAGTACAATGTCAAATACATACTTATACTGGTAAGTTATAAGTATTTCCTTGTAATCAACTAACTGTTAGACATCTGATGAAATAAAAAACAACCAAATATTAGTCTGTCATAACACGGTACATAATGCTACTAGCATGCATTCCCTGCAGTTTGGGAGCTGTACTTATTGATAAATAAATTAACATAACTTTTACCCCCTAAACACCATGCTGAACCCATGCCAAAGATAGTGTACCTGTCCACCACATGGTCCACCTTTAGCCCAAACAAACACATGGTCTGGATCTCCCGCACCCAAGAGACAGACAGAACCTGTCCTGCACTGCCACCCAGTGGTCATAACTATCTATTTTCATCACTAGCCTAACTTTAACTGTATAATATATATATTTCTGTTCGTGATAGATTTAACAAACTTACTTGTGGAGTGCATTATGCTATAGACTATGTAAAGTCAGTTATATGTGAGTTACATGTAACTTTCTAGATGTGACACATCACCTGCATGATTCCATGGAATTTAAAAAGTTAAAACCATACTTCTGAAACTTTTCCATGGAAATAGCCACATAGGAGTTAGGTTTGTGTAGATGCAAGCCTGCTCAGAGTAAGGATGCATGTTTATAGATTATTTGTAAGTTTTTCAATGAATAAACACAGCAATAATAAGACAAAAATCAATTAGAATGTGTTCTATTTAATACAAAATTCACAAAAGATTTAGCTGTACCCTTTGCACACGAACATCATTACCTTTCTCACTTTCTAGGTAAGAGAATGTATAAGAATGTATATGCATAAGAGTGTAAACTTGGGTGTCGTTTGAGAGTTCCATAACTGCACTGGTGATTTTGCATTGATAAACAGGACACAATATGTATGAGAATGAAATGAAATGAAAAACAACTATTGGTCCTTTACTCATGGGATAAAGTATAGAAAGGACTCTACAGAATGACCTATTTATCTGATCTTGATTTTCTCTTTTTATGTCAACATTAACAATTAGGTTAGGGCTACTGTGTTGATGCTTAAGCCCAGTAAAAGTTGCTCAGCAAGCTTGATTCGAATGTCATCTCTGAATTGATTTGTTTCCCTTTGTTGTTTTATTTTAGCACCTCTGTGTCCTCTGCTTTCATTATATTTCAGATTGTAGATACTATTAAGCACTTGCCTTGGTATCCAGTGTGCTATAAATACACTTTCTTGCTTTTCTCTTGACAGTAATAACAATGATGCCCAGGGTAATGAGTCTGAAATGAACTGGGTGAGGAAAAAGTCTTGTTTTATGGTATCATTAGGCTATACAACACCACATTATGGCATCGTGTTGGAATCTTTGTAAAGAAATCACAAAATGTCAGAAAGCATGCCTGAAGGATTAAGAAACGGCTGAGTGGCGCTGATAAATGCATTGTTTTGAGTTCAGAGAAGACAAAGTGACAGGCTAATAAATATTCATTTCAAAGTGAGCGCGTGCAGAGAGACAGGGAGCTGCTGATGCAATGAGAACTTCAGCAGCAAAAACGCTCTTTGGGTCTTTTGTCTAATATCACACACTGACGGTATATTTTCAGGAACCAGTGAGCATAACACATCTGTAGAAGAAACTGGCTATGTTAATAGGTATGTGCAGTGGGCTATGGAACTTAATTATCCTTTCTGAATAAACACTGCATTGTTTAGTTAGTTAGCCTAACTAACCTTATTCATATATAATGGAATAGTTGAATATTTATTATAGTTTTAAATGCATTATACTCAGTGGCTATTGATACCTATTACTGCTTTTAGGATTCTGGAAAATATACACCTAAGATCACAGAAAGAGAGCCTTATATTCATGGGTTTTAGCTTCTTGTTATTATTATTGTTATTATTTTGAGGAAATTTTCTTAATTCAAAAGAATAATATAATAATAACAATAATATTTTGGTTTTAAATTGTTAATTGCTTTGGCAGCAGACCTAATTTCTCGCCATTCTTCAACCCACAGATTGGATAATGTTTCCCCTATGAGTTGAGCTATCTGAAATGTTTGATTTGAAAATAAGAAGTCCTCACCCCAATTGGCACGCGCTTGTCTTTATCCGAGACTGTCCGCTAGAGGTCACCAGTGCGCCACATTTACCGCGTGGCTGGAGTGAACGTGAATGGTGAGTAAATGTGTTTTATGCACTGTTTAGGCCCACTCCTTCTAATTTTATGTTCAGAGAAAATACAGATTTACAAACGAAGTGGACCAAAGGCAATCTATAAAAATGCTTTGCGTAAAAATAGAATGACTGACTATCCTAACTGTGCGTAAATCTCATTAATTGTATGTAATGGTCTGGGCAGGACTCGGGACAGATGCTAGTGGGCTATACATCATTGCATGAGGCATTGTCATCATCATCACGGTGTTGAGACGCTCGGTTTGTTTTTTGCACAGTCGTTTATTGGCCACTTTTCATTGATTTGATCGATTGTTGTTCATAAATAAATCAATCCAGCAGGATATGTAAAATGGAAACAAACACATATTTTTGCATTAATATAAACCAGTGGTTGCCACGTGTGTTTTATATTAAATGGGCTGCCACCTGTGCCATCCCAGTACATCTCCATTGCTTTGGTTTACTCTTTTTATTTATTTTCTTTATTTTTCTTTCTGTCAGGGATGTCTCTAACGGGAACCCTATAACGGTCAGCTGGGCTTCATCTCTAAGTAGACGACCTCCTACTAGACTTCCTTCACGTCACCCCGCCCGTCTGCCTGCTGTCTCCTCCCTAATAGCTTGGCTGAGACCGTCCCTTTGAGCGCCTCCTTTCTCAGGAGCAGAGTCAGAGTCATAATACATGCATACTCTCACCATCACCTCGGCTACACCTGCTCCAGCGCGCGGGAACAGGAGGAAGACGCACGAGTGCAGGCGCGTCCCAGCCTCCCAGCGGTGCGAGACAATAAGGACCACACATCTCACGTTGGAGTTTCTGCTCAACTCTGAGGAGAAGACCAAGACTGGCTAAATGAGTGCATTGTAAGAAAGAAAGATGCATCTGAACAGTGAAGAAGATCCCAGTAAAGGTGAGCCAAACATTTTTGGTAATCCTTTTACGCAGACATACTATAGTACAAAGCTCTCGCGTTGATTGCCAGATGCCCTTGAGTGTGTCATGTTGATGTCAGGTAATGATGCTGGGGGTCATCCTATTAAGCACATGGTAGCACAGCTTTGCCTTCTCTAACACGAGCCAGGATAACATTGTTGCTTGGATTCATTGTAGCAATGGGGGGGACTGTCTGGGAGACAGCCCCTTGAGCACTTGTTGTGCTCCATTTAGATACCGGGTTTTCGTGCGCTCTCACGGTCGTTTCTGAAAGTGGTGACCTGAGTCAAAATGCACAAGGTCATGCCTTTTCGGCCATATTATTGTGCGTCCGGTCGTATACCGCGTGCGCGTGTTTGTAATGTCTGTAATTGAGTCGCACAGGGCTGGTGTCCTCTGTTGTGGAGGGTAACACGGAGCAGACAGTGTGCAATGACACGAGCCATTCCATCAGTTAAAGTAATGAAGGAGTGACTGTGGTTTGATGCCCGCGCTCGCGCTTTACGAGGCGTTTTCTCTCATAATGCTTGAACTGAGGTCGAGGTCACTGACGAACACCTGATGCTCAAAGAGCTTCGCCTTTTCGAGCCTGGAGACATGACGCAGCCCCTGTCCTACCACCAGGATGTATTAAACAACCAGCTGCCCTGACTTGTGTCTACCACACCCACACAGAGTTAGTTCCATATAATTTTAATGACTCATGTGCAATATGTATGGACTGGCTACATCTGCGGTGCGCAACCAGGCTCACCATCACCCTCACGCAGCTCTCCAGCAGCCAAAGCACACACATTATAGTGAATTTAGTTATTCCACCACTTTTGCACTATTGCACCTGATACTACTACTACTGCTATAATTATTATTATTATTATCATTATTATTATTATTATTATTATTATAACAACAACAACAACAACATTGTTCTTTCTTTCTAAACTTCCAGTAATAATAAATAATATAATACACATAAAACACACTGACAGAGAACGGTATTGTTGTCTTTTTTCTTTATACAGAAGTGCACTCCTGTCTTTGTTGGTGACACTGATGCCATGGGAATGTGTCATTATGTGAGCATTTGTCAAAGTTTGTGTGTATCTGATGCTGTAGTTTGCAGCTGCTGTAGTTTTCTCTTTGTGTATTTTCTGTGCTGTGTGGCCCTGCACACTGGCACACTCTACATCGACCCACTCATCCAAAACGTCTTGCGACCTCATTGTCAGATATGGTTTCACCAGGGACAAACGATGAGTCACCATTGGCGACCAGAAGTGATTTCATGATTACATGACAAGCCTGTGTGACTCTTTGGCATATGTGTGGCAGAGGCAGCTGTGGAGGAAAAGGCAAGAATAGAGACTGTAAGTGAGAGTGAGAGCTGAGTGTGAGGCAAAGGTGTGCAAGTCGACAGACATTACACCAAAAGTGAAATAAAGACACACAGAGTTTTAAATAAACTTCATAAGTAGAAGAAAACCACTGTTCAAACACTTAAATTAGAGATCATGAAGAAAGAAAACTTGAGATTTTAAGACAATTTAAGAAGATTCCCCAAATATTAACTTTACACTTTCTGTATCTTTAGTGCTGATCATTCCAACTACATTTTGTGTGTAACATTATCACTGGAACTTTTACAGTAGTAAACATCTGAGCACTGGTAAATGAAGTTACTCTTTCTGAATTGACTGAAGTGTTTGTTCTTTAGAACAATTGGTTTACAGTGGATAGAAATGTTCATCTTGTTTCATGGCAGCTTGTAGGATATTGTCAGCAGTTTCATACTTTTACTTACTTATTAACCCATTATCACAGAACATCGTAAGTAAACATCTTTGGACATTATCCGAGGTAAGAAATGAAAAAGAGAGGGAAAAATGAAACGAGTTGTGTTTTTTTA